CCCCCCCATGTGATAACCACTCTGCCGGCTTCTGACCACGTACAGTGGTTCCGCCTGCTTGTGTCCTCTGTACGCAGTCTCTTTGCTGGTGGTGTTTTCTGTCTAAACAATTCTCTCTCTTTTTTTTTTTACCTTCCCGTTTTTAAAAATATGTTTGTGTTGCTTTTAGAGAAAAAGGAAGGAAAAGGGAGAGAGAGAGAAACATCGATGTGAGAGAGAAACATCGATCGGTTGCCTCTCGTACGCACCTTGACCGGGAATCCAACTGTGACCTCTTGGTTCTTAGGTCGATGCTCAACCGCTGAGCCACGCCGGCCGGGCAAGGCGAGCATTTTAAATGCTAAGCCTGTTCCCTGGGAGGCATTTACCCTCCACACCTGAGCCAAAGGGTCCCGTTGCCCGGAACAGCACAGCTGGGGGCAGCCTAGGTGTCCGTCCGTAGGGCCTTGGTGAGCCTGCAGGTGTGCGTAACCGATTAAAAACCACGAAGCAGCCTGGCCAGTGTGGCTCAGTGGTTGAGCGTCATCCCATGAACCGGGAGGTCACTGGTTCCGTTCCCTGTCGGGGCGCCCAGGTTGCAGGCTGAATCCCCAATGTGGGGTGTGCAGGAGGCAGGCCATCCACCTCCCCCTGATGTCTCTGTCTCTCCGGCTAGCCCTCACGCCAAAGGGTCCCGAGTTTGATTCCTGTCAGGGGCACAGGCGTGGGTTGCAGATTCCCTCCCCGCCCCTTGTCGGGGTCCCTGCAGGAGCAACCAGTGGGTGTGACTCTCTCACGTTGATGTCTCTCTCTCTCTCTCTCTCTCTCTCCCCTTCCCTCCCTTCCACTCTCTCTAAAAATCAATGGGAAAATGTCCTCAGGTGAAGACCAACCACAACACACTCATGAAAAAGGGACATCAGGCCGGGGACAGCAGAGCCCTGGTGGCTCCCGCCTCCCGTGGGCCCCGCGGGGTGTGCAGGAGGCAGGTGACACTCCATTTCGCTCAGCTTGTGGCCCACGACAGCCGGTCCCGGCTCGCCAGCCCCCTGGGCCGCTGGTGGCCGTGCTGACCCCCGGCTCTGTTTCCCGCTGACGGCAAGCGGTGAGCTCGCTGGGCCCGGACGGCGGTGGCCGCGGGCGGGTGGTAACGACCTTCTCTCGTGTCCGCAGCTGCTGACCAGGCTGACCGAGAAGTTCGTGCACGGCGTGGACGTGTTTCTGGAAACGCTGTGGAAGTTGTGGTTAGAGATCTTGGATGTCCTTGGCCTGGACGGTAGGTGTCGGGGGGTGGGGGGTGGGGGGTGTGCCCTCGAGGCGCTGTTCTGCCTGTTCTATTCCGGTGGGTCTCTGGTGTGACTGGTCCCCTCCGTGGGCGGGATGGGGCGCGCCTTGCAGGGATGGGGGGTGGGGGGCAGCGAGGATGGGGATGAGCACCGGCTGTGATAGCACCTTCCGCAGATGGTCCCTCAGAGCCCAGGTTCCGGCGTCGTTTAGGATAAGGTGCCCGGGAGGGGCCGTGCCCGCGTGTCTGCCCCGGGCCCGCTGCGAGGAGCAGGTGGGGGTTCTCTGGGATCCACATTAAACTGCTCCCACCCAGGGCCTTCCGGTCAAGGGCACGGACCTCGGTTGCAGGCTCCTCCCTGGCCCGGGCCCTCCATCGATGCTTCTCTGTCGTTCCCTCTCTCCCACTCTCCCTAAAAACCAATGGAAAGCATCCTCGGGTGAGGATTAAAACAAAACAAAAAGAACTGTTCCAGTCACTCAGTCAGAAGGGGTTTAATCCAGAGAGCGGGGCGCTCGTGGAGTCACCGGTGATGTGACGGTGACCCGCACACGGCCCTCCGGTCCTGCCCTGGGAACCGGGAAGCTGGACACGCCAGGGCCAGGCCGCCGCCTCCGTGTCGGGGTCCGGGACCGCCCAGGCTCCAGGTGCTTGACGAAGACTCGCAGGACCAGCTCGGCATCGTGGCCATGGCTGCGGCTGATCTGGGCGGAAGGCTGTGACACCGGGTCAGCCAGGGGGACGGTGCGTGAGACGAAGTCCCGAGGAGACCCGGCCCCGGCGTCCAGCTCCCAGAGCCTCTCCCGGGGGAGGCACACGGGACACGCTCAGGTCCCTGGCACGGAGCTGGGACAACACGTGTGCGGCATGGTGTCTGCCGGGAAACCCCTTGGAGACCCAGCGCCCAGGGTGTTTGTGGGGGCCGCTCACCTAGGCACCCTCTGCCTGACAGGCACCCAAGTCCCAGACTCCCCGAAGGAAAGCTGGGTGTCAGCGTAAACCAGCACGTTTGTGCAAACATTCCAGGCCCAGGAGAAAGAAGGGACCCCTTTTTCCAGTCCCACACCCCCAGGCGATGACCTGATTCCCCCCAACGCTGACCGGTGTCCCACATGTTTAGCTCAATTCTGACACCACCTGCCTGGAGGCAGCCTCGGATCCCACAGGTCAAGGGCTCAGTCCCACGAGACTTCCGGTGGCACTTGGATGTGACGCGGTTCTCCTGGGGGCTGTGAGCTCCGGGGGGTTCAGCGTCCGCCTCCCTTCTGGTCTCGGCCTCCACACCTTCCGGGAGTCCTCGTAGGTGTCTCCTGCAGGAGCGATCGCCCAGCCCTTTGCCTGCTCGGTCTTTTCCATCTTTGGGTCTCTGGTGTGTGACACCTCCTCCAGGGAGTCCATCCTGATTACCCCATGTAAAGGGACGTCGTCTGTTCCACCCCTTCTTTCTCTTTATGGCATTTGTCTGCTGTAACCTACCATGCGTGTGTGTGTGTGTGTGTGGGGGGGGGGGGTTACCCCTCTGGAATCTCAGTTTCCTTGAGGGGGGTCTAGCCCATCTCCTCCAGGCCGTACACCCGCCCCCAACTCTGCCCCAGCACTAAGGGGCCCAGCGCTAATAAGTGTTGGAGCCCGGCCGGCCTGGCTCAGTGGTTGAGGGTCGACCTATGAACCAGGAGATCATGGTTGGATTCTCGGTCAGGGCACATGCCTGGGTTGTGGGCTCGATCCCCAGTGTGTGGCATGCAAGAGACAGCTGATCCATGATTCTCTCTCATCACTGATGTTTCTTTCTCTTTCCCTGCTCCCTCTCCCTTCATCTGCCTCTAAAAAAAAAAAAAAATTAATAAAACATATTTCAAAAAAAATAAAAATAGAGCTGCCATCGGACCCAGCGATCCCACTTCTGGGAATATAGCTCATGGAAATGAAAACACTTCGTATAAGAGACACCTGCTCCCCCGTGTCCATAGCAGGATTCTCTTCAGCAGCCTAGACAGGGAAACAGCCTAGGTGCTCATCACTGGTGAACGGATGAGCAGGTGTGGCACTCATGCAACCGAGTGTTATCCGGCCACAGAAGCGAAGGCAGTTCTGCCGTTGTTGACAAAATGGATGGACCCTGAAGGGATGATGCTGAGATGAGCCCGACAGGGAAAGACAAATGCTCTGTGGTCACCCTCATACATGGCCTCTAACAGCAACCCACGCCCGTGGGAAAGGAGATCAGATGGGCGGTGACCGGAGGCAGGTGGGGAGAAAGGGTGTTGGATGGAGGTGGTCAGAAGGTGCCCATTCCAGCTCTAGATAAACACGTGCGAGGGACGTCATGTTTGACACGATGGCTGTCGTGAACACTGCTGGCGGAGACATAGGGAGTTGTTAAGAGAGTGCTAGCCCGGCCAGCGTGGCTCCGTGGTTGAGCGACGACTTACGAACCAGGAGGTCACGGTTGGATTCCTGATCAGGCCACAGGCCCGGGTTGCGGGCTTGTTCCCTCTGAGGGCATGTGCAGGAGGCAGCCGATCAATGATTCTCTCTCATCATTGATGTTTCTATCTCTTTCTCCCTCTCCAGTCCTCTCTGAAATCATTAAAAAAATCCTATATAATAAAAGGGTAATATGCAAATTGACCCTCACGGGAACGACTGGTGTCTATGAGGTGCACTGACCACCAGGGTGCAGACACTCAACACAGGAGCTGCCCCCTGGTGGTCAGTGCGTTTCCACAGGGGGAGTGCCGCTCAGCTAGAGCTGGCTCATGGCTGGACAGCGTAGCGGCGGTGGCGGGAGCCTCTCCCACCTCTGAGGCAGCACCAAGGATGTCTTACTAACCATAGGGAGTGGGCCTAAGCCGTCAGTCGGACATCCCCTGAGGGGTCCCAGACTGTGAGAGGGCTCAGGCCGGGCTGAGGGACCCCACCTTCCCCCAGTGCATGAATTTTCGTGCACCGGGCCTCTAGTATATTAAAGAGAGAAAGACCTAGATCCTAAGAGTTCTTAGGACAAGCACAAAATTTATTTCCTTTTTTTGTATCCATCTGAGATGATGGACTTGAACGGAACTTACTGTGGTGCTCACGTCACCGTATATGTAGGTCATGATGATGTGCACCTTCAGTTTTTTTTTTAAATATATTTTATTGATTTTTTACAGAGAGGAAGGGAGAGGGATAGAGAGTTAGAAACATCGATAAGAGAGAAACATCGATCAGCTGCCTCCTACACACCCCCTACTGGGGATGTGCCCGCAACCAAGGTCCATGCCCTTGACCGGAATCGAACCTGGGACCTTTGAGTCTGTAGGCTGACGCTCTATCCACTGAGCCAAACCGGTCAGGGCTGCACCTTCAGTTTATAGTGTCGATGCCATTCCTGTCTCAGGAAGACTAGAGGCGGGAGGAGCATGCTGAAGTATGACGTGCGCACGTTTCAAATGGTTCGGTGAAAACCGGTCTGTGCCTGGAGCGAGGGAGCAGAGTGCGGCCGAGTGCGGGCGATCATGAGCGGGTGTCCGTAGACACGTTTCCCTCACCGCTCTCTTCGCTTTTCTGTTTGAAAATGTCCCCGAGTCGGGCACGCAGGGGATGAGCTGCCGCGTTTCCTCCACACGCACGAGGGGCCTCCGTGTGGGGGTGCCAGTCACGAGTAGGCTTGGCTGTGGGTCAGGAGCCCCCGCAGAGCAGCAGCCTGAACGAGGCGGAAGCTTATTTCTCTTGTGGGAAAGGTCGCAGGTAGGTGGGTAGGCAGGTAGGTGACTCGGCAGCGCCAGGTCCTCGGGACCCAGGCCCCTTCCGTCTTTTTGCTCCCCAGTCGGTGACTTTTCTCCCTTCATGGCCCAAGACACCTGGTCCCAGTCCTACTATCGCATCCAATTCCCAGCAGGCAGAAGAACCAGAGGTAAAGGGCACGTTGCTGGTAGGCTGAGGAGAAACACACACACACACACACACACACACACCCTTTGGTCGTGTAGCTCTCAGGGGGAGCCTGGGAAATGCCTTTGTCCTGGGCAGCCGTGTGTCCAGCCTGCAGCCGGGCATTTGTCGCTGCGAGAGATGAGAAGGGCCCTGGCCGGTGTCGCTCAGTGGATAGAGCGTCAGCCTGCGGACCCAAGGGTCCCGGGTTCGATTCCGGTCAAGGGCACGTACCTGGGTTGCAGGCTCCTCCCCGGCTCAGGCCCTGGAGGCAACCTATCGATGTGCTTCTCTCATATCCATGTTTCTCTCTGTCTCTCTCTCTCTCTCCCACTCTCTCTAAAATCAATGGGAAAACATCCCCATGTGAGGATGAACAACAACAACAAAAAAGAGAAGAGGAGGGAGGACCCTGAGGGACAGTGTGCCGGCCCCGCCCGGCTGTGACAGGCTGTTAAACCCAGGGAAGGGCAGGCCGGTCTCCCCCCAGGGCTTAGCGTGAAGGTTCCTGAGGCAGCTTCGTGCCCCGGGCTGTGGCCGAGGCCCGGCGGGT